TTATAGCCTTGTATCTTTCTAGGATCTACATCAAAGGCACCTCTCAGAATCATTTCAAAGCTAAATACTTCTGTTAGAAGTCTCAAGCAGCCACTAACGCAAAGCTGTAACACACTGAGACAGAGGAGTTCAATTTTTTGCAGCGCATTCACACTGACACACCTCTGGAGACTATGCAATAGACAGCATTGAAAAGAGAGCTTCTAACAGCGTTCAGTGTATCCTGTTCAAATGAAAGATGATGAGATCTGTTTTCCAAGCTAACTCCAATTCTCTCATCCTGTTGTGTTCAAGGGGATGCCTCGGAGTTGAGATGTACTCATCATACAAAGAGGCAATGAGGTAGATCTAAGGAACATCTTTCTGAACCAATTCTTTCTCCCGAGAGCAATTACCTGCACAAGCAGCCCCATCAATTTTAAAGGAACTATGAAGAAACAATTTCTTCCAATTTAATTCTGCTTGTGAGCTTATTTCCTCCTGTTCTTCCCTCGAGAAAGCTGAAATGGATTGGGCAGCACAAGCAGTTCTATCTGAACAATCTGGAGATGAGCTTCAACTTATACAGTGCTCCTGGAAACAGGCTGGTAATTTAGCACCTCTGCCCAAGTACCCCAACACCAGAGAGGCAGGAAAATATTCCCAGACACAGCATCTCACTGTTACACAGAGGCACAGACCCTAAAACCAATCCTTTAATCTGCCCTGATATGCATAAAGCTTTATACTATGCAGCTGCCTCCTGCAACAGTCAGTTCTCTCCACCATTGATGACAATAGGCAGCACCACACATTGCTCTTTTCTGGAGCATTTTCCTAATCTCTACGTCCACCCTCAATTGTATCACTGGGAAACAACACTGAGCAATTAAGCATGTTGTATTTCCCTGGCTGATTCCTCCATAAAACCTATGTATAGATACACACACAGATAATAATAGAAAGTTTATTTTGCCAAACACCTGCTGCCCACGTCTTTCCTACAGTGTCGTGAGGAAATCAAAGGACTGGAAATAACCCAGCATTGAAACTTACAGCAAAATAGCTCCTTTATTTCAGTTCAAGGACATCACTCTTCTAACAACAGGAAAAAGGAGACGTGTATTTTTTAGTTCCTTTTATCGATGAAGATAAAATACAGCAATATTCAAAACAGTATATTTTAGAGGGTCTGAAAAGTAACTCACAGCCAGCACCCTGCTATGGGCTCTACCAGCACCCCAATAGTTTCCTAAGCTACTTAAAACTGATCTGGCACAGATCTGCGTTGAAAGCCCATGATACACCGAGACAGAGGTACTTCACAGTAACACAAGGCAAATGCAGATTTTATGCACATTTCCATATAACCTCATGTGGGAAAAAACTGTAATCCAGGTGGTGACATGAGCACTGGAATTAACACATCCTGCTTTTCTCAAAATGTGTGTCACAACCTATTGTAACATCAAGAAATACACAACCCCACCCAGCACTCTCCCCATAGACAGTCCCTTTTCCCTTATAGCTTCCCTTCCACGTGGGTTTTTTCCTATCCTACAAGGGTCGAGATCACTCATAGCTTTTCCTGCACTGGCACTCCACTTTCTGTTCTAACTGGTCGCTCACTCTGACAAAGTTTGTGGTCATTTAATAATCCTGATGGCTGGCAGTCTTCTCTCATTTTTAGCCAAACGATGGGTTAAAAACATTCCTGGGAAGGAAGAGGAAGGAAGGAGTCAGACAGTGAGATCACACGCTATGGCTGTAGGAAATTGGATTAAAAACGATTTCCCAATGAACAACAGTGGTTGTTTCTTTTAAGTCAGCGTTGACTAATAAATCAGTTCAGTCATAACAATTCAGAAACAAAAGTATAAGAAGCAGTGGTGTAAAGCAAAGGTTCAAGGGGCTAATTCCAAGTATTGCTCAAGCAGTTAAACAACTTACAGAATTTCACTCTTAAAATGTTGAGGAATTGGACCTGAAATCATAACCCTACCTCATCTCCAGGCACCTCCTAACAAAGCTCTATACCATGCCACGCTGCTAAAGCAGGAGTAGCAGCAAAGTTACTAACAAGCCACAGATAATACCTCGAATACCACCATAGTTACTATCACCACCATACCCAGGAATTGTATTTACCATCCCACTGTAAAGAAAAGTTACAAGCTTACATTGGCAGCCTTGATAAGCCTAGTGAACACACCTCTCTGAATATAAGCTCCCTAAAAGTAGATTAGAGCATGTTATAAAGGACTTCGCCAAAAAATATTTACACTCCATTGCTTATGGGTTGATAGCCACATATAGCAGTTGTTTATGGCATGGCTGCCAATCATGATTTAAAAAAGAAACCCCTATTAAGTAACAAAACCTTTTCCAGCATCATTCTATGGCTCTCTGAGCTATACAGCTCATGGCCAAGTCATGCACAAACAATAAAAGGATTAATATAACTGGACTACAGCTGCTGCATGGACCAGTTTAAAGGTCTGTATTCACATATAGTCAAGATGGCAATAAAATCATAGAATCATAGAATAGCCTGGGTTGAAAAAAACCACAACGATCATCAGCCTTGAATGCCTCCAGGGATGGGGCATCCACAACCTCCTTGGGCAACCTGTTCCAGTGCGTCATCACCCTCTGAGTGAAAAACTTCCTCCTAATATCTAACCAGAACCTTCCTTGTCTCAGTTTAAAACCATTCCCCCTTATTCTATCACATAGCAGGCTTGTCTTTATGCTGTGATACAAAAGATACGCCAGTGAAAGCAAAATTTATTAAGAGCTTTGGCTTGCTTATTTCTCATGCTATTAGAGGCAAGAACGGTTTGGCTGTGGCAAGTCAGCAGCCAACCATTGATCTTGCTACTGGGGAGAGCAGTTGGTGGGAAGGACAGTAGTTAGTCTCAGAAGATCACTGACCTCTGCTGGTCCGCTGGAAGCTGAGCGGCAGCTGCCTGAAGGGAGGCAAGGAAGCCCCAGGGGTGGAGCAGTTCCTCAGCCCAGGAGAAAGTTGCCCGTACAGTTCTTATGTGGTCAGTCAACTCAATTCAGTACCATTTCAGTAAGCTTCCAACTTACTTCTGTTTCACAATCGCATACCAAGACTGAGCTTCCAGCCCTGCGATTTGCTTCTGTGTCCATGTCCCAGTGCAAGCTTTGGAAGAGCCTCTTTCCCCAGTGCTGATCCCAGCCCAGCACCTCTTCACAGCTGAGCCCTTCATCCCCTTGGTCAGAGCTGTGTTCTCCATGGCCCACATTTCAGAGCTACCCCACTATGATGCGCAATAATGTGCAGAGCATGCCTTCCACAGGCCTTAAAACTTCCAACAGAGGAGAACCTAGACTAGTAAGCTATTTCCCCTAAAAACAGCAGCACCACAGTGCTGTGCATAAACATGTCATGAACTGTGCAGAGGAGGTGGTCTTCAGGCATAGGCGCCGTCTTTTCTCTGTTCCCCTTGTGAAACTGGAAGGAATACTCTGATAAAAGCTGAGTCACACATTTCCATTTCCTTCACACTGACTAAAGCATGACCACACTTTCTATCACTGAAGCTACAAGTCCCGAAAGAGCACCAAAGGCAGCTGCTAAAACTTGCTATCCCGGAGCTACAGGGAGCTGTGGCCACACGGGTTGCCAAAGCAGTAAGCAAACTCAGCAAACCAAGCCAGTGGCCTCAGACCATACTCTAATAAACATCACCTTGCCACGCTGAAGCTTCTTGTTGAAGAAGTGAAGCTGTCAACCTGTTCAGGCTTAAAAGTCAGTTCCAGGTGAAGTATGTTTTCCAAGCACGTGCCACCATCCCCTCCTAGGGATGGGCTTTCTCCATCACCTTCCTTCAGCAGTAAGTGACATCACCGAAAACGCACAGCTGCTTCAACCACAACGGAGAAACTTGATTAAAAATAGATAACAGAGGAAATACCAGAAAGCCACACCAAAACAGCCATGAGAAGGGAAGCAATTTCCCCAAGCTGCATTTTTATCCCAAATATTACCAAAATGCCTTCTTAATATCAGCGGCAGTGAGTAGACGAAGGGCAAAGCACGCTTGCTCAGTAGACTGACAGTGGAATTACCCCCCTGCCCCACATCCATCAGGCACCAAAACGAGCCAAGGCTGATGTTAGCCCACCAGAAAGCCCAACTGCACTGTGGCATATAGAACCAACGCTCAGATTTCATGTGCAGATGGCCACGGTTTGGAACAAGGAGATAAATTCCACCACAGAAGCGGGCGCTGGGTCAGTAAGGGAATCAGAGGGCGACAAGCGCGCAGTCCTGAAGGAGCAGACACTTAGGGGAAAAGTTACAGTTTGCACACACACAGAGCCAGGCCATCTTTATCAAGCCCACTGGCAAGACGACAACTACTTTTTTGCAGATAGGGAGCCGCGCCGCTTCGGAGCACGCAGTCCTATCTCTGCACAGCCTTCGGTGCGAACAGGCGCTGGGGAAAACACGCGGCGGCGGCGGCACCCGGCGAGGAGGCCGTGCCAGGGGCGGCCCGCCAGGCTGCGGGCCCGGGGACGGGCACAGCCCCGCTGTCAGGACCTCCTCCACAGACGGGGAACGCCAGCACCCTCGTGCCCTCCACGACCCACGCTGGCGCACTGGAGCCGCGTCCCTATGGAAGAGCACCGGGCGAGACAGCTGTAAAAGCCACGGGTAGACCGGGAACAAAACACAGGTGGATTTAATCATTCCCTCACAGCTTTACCACTCTCGCGCCTCTACAGAGAAATAAAGACGCCCACAATCACCTTTATTCCCAGAAGTTTATTTTACAGAAGCAGGGGCCGGGTTCCCCTCCGGGAGCGGCGCCGCTAAGCGGCCACCGAAGCGCCCCAACGCCTCCACGCCCACCCGCGGCGGCCGGGGCCCTCCCGCGCCCGGAGAACAAAGGGGGTTCAGCCCCGCCGCTCCCGCCGCGGGCTGCCCGGGAGGGACGGGGGCTCGGCTGCGCTCTCCCCTCTGCCCTCTCCCGCGCGGGCGAACTCACCCTCTTTGGCTTTCTTCTTCCTCGCCAGCGTCCCGCCGAGCTTGCCCAGGAACGACTCGTCCTTCTTCATCCTGTGCGGCCGCAGCGTCGGGGAACGGATGGGAGCGGAGGACATGGGGCTCCGCCCGGGGCAGCCCGCCCGATCTCTGCCCTGCCCGAGGGGGGCTAAAGCGGCCCGCGGAGCCGAACAAAGCCCGGCAGCGGGGGAAGCGCCCGGCGATCCGCGAGCGAGGGCGAAGAGCCGGCGGGGAGCGGGATCGGGTGGCGGTGGGCGTGAGAGCGGAGGGCAGGGGGCGGGCTGGGAGCCGCCGTCCGCAGCGCCCTGCCACGGCGGGAGGCGGGCTCGCACGGCGAGCCGGCACGGCGCGGGGAGAGCCGGGCTGCTCCCTCACGGCGCCGGCAGACAGAGCGCCTCGAGGAACGCAATTAAAATAGCGTAGAAACGTGAAGTTTCAGCCAGCTGTGCTGCTGGCGGCGAGGAAAGCAGGGCTGAGGAGAGCCGCTGAGCTCCTGGCGGAGCGGGCGGGCACGGAAACGGGAGATCCCGGAGAGTTGCGGGGCAGCCTGATGGGGGCTCTGTGAAATGCACAGAGCTGAAAACAGACCCACGAGAGTTCCTAGCGTCAGGCTGGACCCTGCGAGCTCTTGACTTGACTCCTGAAGCAATACCTAAAGTTGCGCCCGTGACCTCGGCCGGTCCCCTGCAGCACAAGGACACCGTTACTTACCAGTGCATCTGCATGTAATTGCTCTGATTTTCCTTGTTGGAAGTATTCTTTTACACAGTGACTAACGGCATTCAAGAAAACATTCTTTCTCACTTCAGTGTGCCTCTAATTGGTTTTCTATCTGCACTGGGACCACAGGGTCCCCTCAGGGGCTCTGCACCTCCTGCTTCATTCTGCAAATCAACAGGAGAGTGACAGAGACTATGCAAAGCCTGGATCCTAGCTGTACATACAAATTTGGAGCAGCACCTGCAGCTGCTGTTAGTGTTTGTCTTTAATGGGTTAGGTTAGAGGTTATCATGTGCCTCTGCTCCAGCACCCAAAGCAGCCCAGGAACAAGAGCACTGGCCATGTGCTGTCCTGCATCGCAGGCTTTTGGACCGAGGCTGCTTCTCAGATGAATGAGGTTCTCTGAGCAGCACTGCCCCATCTGGAATTTCCTCCAGCCCCACGCTACCACTACAGTGTATTTCCACACAGCTTAAGTAAAATGCTTTACTAAATAATGTCTATTTCAGATCTTCACAGCAGCAGCTGTCCCTGCAGGCCAGATTTGTTGCATCAGGCTCCTCCAGATGGGCTGGTGAGCAGTGATCCTGCACTGCTAGGCTTCCTACCAGGAGCCCCGGGCACACGGGCTTAAAAATGGACTGGTGTCAGACCAACAGCTTGGGAAAACCCGGGCAAAGCCTCTCTGACAGAATCTGACTCCTCTAAAAACAAGCGAGGCAAAAACCAAATTGTGACCACCCTATGGTCCATAGGTTCATAGGATGTCCACAGTGGCCCCAAGTGGCCACAAAGATCAAAGATCTGGAGCACTTCTGGGAAGAAAGGTTGAAGGGATTGGGCTTGTTAAACTAGGAGAAGAGAAGATTCCAGGGAGACTTCATTATTTACTCAGAGGGCAATGAGGCAGTGGCACAGGCTGCCCACAGCAGCTGTGGATGCCCCATCCCCGGAGGAAATCAAGGGCAGGCTGGATGTCACCCTGGGCAGCCTGATGTAGTGGGTAGCAGCCCTACCCGTGGAAGGGGATTGGAACTGGGTGGGCTTTAGGTCCCTTCCAATCTAAGCCATTTTATGATTCTGTGACTTTACGCTTGAGACTGTAGGGGAGCACAGCAAGCCTTAATGTATATCAGGGCAACCTGTGACCCTAAACCTGAGTGTATTTCACTGATTGATCAATCTCCATCGTGGGCACAATGCTAGCACTGCACTGGTTTTGTGACAGCCATTCATTAGAGTGCTGCAGGTAAGGCACCCCAGCCTGCCCTGCCATCCGCTCTGCTTTCCCACATCCCCCATGCAAAGCACTTTCACAGTGGTGTTGAGTAATATGCAGTTTTGTAGGATGAGTTGCACCCCCTGGAATAACAAGAACCACCTTGCCAGATTTAAGAGCTGCAGAAGCTGAGCAGCATAACCGAAAAGTGATACTAGTGATGTGAGTAACTGGTGTTCAAAGTGTAAAATCAGGGCATGTTTAATTCATTTGTTGCTCTACATACTGATCAGTCCTGAAACTTTACACAAAATTTCTTTTCTCATTCCTTTCTAGAATTTCTTACTCATGATTTCAGATATTAATTTCAATAAGTGGAAATCCTGCTTAAGACATCGGTTATAAGTTCAGCTTCTCTTCCTGTTTCCTCAGTGTCCCAGGCCTGCCAGCAGCCTTCGGTTCTGATCTTTTGTGTTGCAAGGTCCTGTGATCTGTGTTGCATGGGGCACACAAGAGAGGGTGCTATCAGGATCCATCTGCACCCAGTGTTTAATGTGGAGCTGATGCAAACAGCAGTGTCTTCATGGTCTCACCTTCATCACTCTGGCTCCTTGTCTAATTAGACACCCCCTCACATGCAAACCTCCCTCCCCAAGCCTGCTCAGGTTGTCTTTATAGGTTGTCTTTACTGCTGCACCAGACATTCATACCTTGCTTTGGTACAGAAACTAAAAGGTAACACTGCCTTTAACAATTTGTAAGCTTTATACTGTGCTACTCTTGATTTTGTCATCTATGGTAAACATGAATTAAAAATGAGGCAGTTTGTTCTGGATTAGACAACCCCTGCCTTCCTCAAACACCTTCTTTCCTCCAAATACCTCACAGCAAGTAAAACCGCCTTGTGTTTGCATATGAAGGACCTTTTGATGAATACCTTTTATCAATACTCCTTTGGAAGAACAAATATGTTCTGTTTCCTCAAACAGGCATGCTGCTCATGGCAGGGAAGTTTTATGCCATGCATTTTCTAGTGGAAAAAGTGGGTTCTCCTACCAAAAACTTCAAGTATTCGCCTGTGTTCAAATACATGCGCTTCAACTAGAACACATTTTTTCCAGTGAACATCTCAACCATTGGAGCTGTTAATGAGATGCAAGGTTGCCACCCAGATTCACATGTGGTGCAAATAAAGGCATCCTTCACATAGAGAGTGTCCATACCCTAAACCCACAGCTCCAGGCTGGCCAGCAAAGCGTGCCTGCATCGTGTACAGTGGCTGTGTCAATGCTGAGAGTGTTAAGTGTTGCAAAATTTGTTAAATAAGTTCATTCTAACACAGCTCCTGCAGATTTTGGAATGCTCTAAAAATCTTCACTGAGTGGCACCCACGATCTATAGGACTTGTGTGTACAGAAAAAGCACTTGTGTAAAATTAACTCCATGCAACAAAGAGCTCAAGGCCAAGCATGCATTGTCTCCACAGACACCAGTAGCCCCTGCTGTTATTTCCACTCTTTAAGTTAACATTAAGATCGATATTTTGGGTGAACAGAAAAAAAAATACACACAATAAAACAAATCAGTGGTAGGGACTGGGGGAGTGGGAATCAGCAGTAGCTTTACTTATGACAAAGAATGATGTTCATTGCTTAAATTGCCCGTTTCATTTATTACACATCTTTTTGAAGAAAAAAAATATCTTGCAAAATTAAACAATTAGCAAGGAAGTCATTTGCATTCTATTGCCAGGTTAGACCATTTACAGATGTAATTTCCAGTGCATCCAAAATAACCTGAACGTGTACAACAATTACAGGTCACACCGAGGCACACAGATGTTGATCTGCAGCAGGACTGCATGGTGGATGTTTCATGTCATAACATTAACGCTGTAGTCTTAGCTTACACTTAGCTTTAAGGCATTGTTGTTATCCAACCTCTACAGAAAATAAAAATCAATCGCTTCTCATAGCATAATGTTTTTTTTATGAAACTGTAATCAGAAAAGCTGAGTACAAACTTCAACCAAGAAAGCAGAAGCTGGTTCACAAGCTATGCAAGTCCAGTGAACTGACTAAAGTATAGCACTTGAAATGTAAAGACCTACATGCAAATATCTGTCAATAATTGAAAGAAAACTACAGAGAAACATCCATTCACCTCCCACTTTGGTATCTTGTTTGTTTATAAAAGAAACTTTTCAGTTTGCTGCATAAATAAAAAGCATGTCAATCTATTGCAAAATGAAAGGAAGCTGGATTGTTTGAGGAAAAAAAAAAAAACATCTATGGCAAAAAAAAGCAAGATCACACTTCAAAAAACAAAGCAAAATGTGGAGTTCAAACAAACAGTGATCTTCTGAATAGGAAATGAAGAACTTATGTCAAGACTTCATCAAGTGTTTGTTAGTCTTTAACAATCTAGCTGGCCAACAGCCATGCAGTGACACAGCTGCTGAGTGGCCCTACATCTGCAAAGCGTATGCTGTGTGCAGATCAGCTTTGGGGATGCAGCTCCATCATGCATCTGCAGCCCCTTGGAGGAACTATAAGCACTGAAGTAATTACACAGATGAAGAAACTGCCTCAGATGGTACCTGCCACCTCAGCACTGTTCACACTACATTAAGGGCCTGCAGCCATGAGGTCCAGCTTCAGGTACAGCACTTGCAGATATTTATCACCATCTCACTGTCACAAACTGAGAGTGTGGCTGTAAAAGCAGTAACAGCTCAATTTCTCTGCAAGTACTGTGGTATCCAAGACCGCCCATTTAAGCAAACATCATGCTTCTGAATTGCACTTATTACTGCAGGCCTTCCTTACACCATTTATTCTTTTCCAGTCGTTTACTCTGACCAGAAATGCACTAACTGGTTTTGCTTAGCATTACAGCCAGTTCTGCAGGGATTCTGCTTTCTATCTATCTTATCCATCCCAACTACAAACATCTGCAACAAATTTCAGATAGCACTAAGGATTAAATTTTTCATATCTATATTATACTCAAGTAACAGCACGATTTGGCTGTTGCTTCCAGAGGAATATGGGAATGCATTCCTTTCTATTTTGTGCATTTTTAAATGCCATAGGAAAACGTGATCTTTCAACACAGTGCAATACAGGCAGGGAAACAGTGACTCAGGTAAAGGCTTGTGATTTTTCCTCGTTATTACTGGTAATTCTATAGTGTGTGGTAAAGCACAGGCTGTCAGTGGATGTGCTTAAAATGCCTCTTCAGCCTTTCACAAAGTTTTCCTGTCCATTCCTTCTTTTATTGCAGAGATCACAGTTTTCTCAACTGTGGACCAGCTAACTAGTGTGCAGAGACTGAAGTTGAGACTATTTCTACTCAGGAAGGCTGCCTTGCCCTCTAAATGGCCAAGTG